AGCCAAGTGCACCTTCGCCCTCAAGGTGGTATCTTCCCCCACCCCCATCATTTTATTGGGGGCTTGTACAACTCATCACAATCCGTACATCCAGCATTCTTTTTTTTTTAAAACACTGTCAAGAGGTCTTTTGCAGCAATACAATACTTCATCTGATTTCCCGATTGCTGCTTCTATAGGCATTGATTGTGGATCCAAGTAAAATGAAGTCATTGAGAACTTCAATATTCCTGTCATTATTTATTTTTACCCAATGGGCTATCATCCTCAAGTTCAGCAGTTCAAAATCACCAGCCTCTCTGTGGGGGAAAGACAGGGATTTCTACTCCTATAAAAACTTGCAGTCTCACTCCACCACGAGACACGACGGCCCCTCCCTGGCCCACAGTGCTATGGGGACAGCGCTAGAGAGACAGTGTGGGAATTGTCACACACACACACACACACACACACACACACACACACCCCAGAGCAAAACAACAGCAAAGGGAACAAAGCAATAAAGTTCCTGAGGAATCCCAAAAATCAACTTCGGGATCGGTGGGCAGGGCTTGGCACTTCACCAGACCCGACTGGAAAACATTCAGAAGGTTTAGCAGACAGACCTGAAGCTATTTATAGTCCCCCCCTTTTCTTTTTCTCATCTCTATCCATATAAGATAGGCAGGATAAACAGTCCCGAGGCGAAAATAACGGGCCGATGGCTCGGTTAGGAGAGGGATTAAGAATGGGAGCTGGCAATGCTAGCTTCCACCGATTCTATTATTCTATTCTAAGTCGAGCCGGTCAAAGCCAATATCGTCTCAAGAGCAGTTTCATGGTAAGCTATTTAGAAAAAACGTTTGAGATCAGTCACTATTCCACCTCCCCATTTAAAAAAAAAAAAACTCCTTCCCAGAGGTCAGGGAAAGATTGACTCAATATCTTTGGAAATACAGATCTTTGTCATGTATCTGCTAGTTAGCAAAAGCGAAAATCTTTGGAACACGCATGCTTGCCATCACCCAACAGAGAGTTAGGAAGTAGCCTGACTCCATGGCCTTTCGGAGAGAAGTCCTTTGCTGATGGCCCTCCATACATCCTCCGCTTTCACCACCAAAGATACGTCTGTATTAGGCCCGCTCAGCAGGTGTTTGCATTCCTGTTCAATCCTGAAACTTGGGAATTCCTGGTGTGTGTGTGTGTGTGTGTGTGTGTGTGTGTGTGTGTGTGT